TAATAGTAATGTTAATAATAGTTATATTATCAGCCTTTCCTTGTGGAAATAATAATAATAATAATAATTGTAATAATAGTAATGATAATAATAGTTTTATTACCAGCCTTTCCTTGTGCCAATTATTATTATTATTATTATTATTATTATTATTATTATTATTAATGTAATAATAGTAATGTTAATAAGTTTTATTATCAGCCTTTCCTTGTGGAAATAATAATAATAATAATAATGATAATAATAGTAATAATAGTAATGATAATAATAGTTTTATTACCAGCCTTTCCTTGTGCCAATTATTATTATTATTATTATTATTATTATTATTATTATTATTATTATTATTATTATTATTATAGTAATGTTAATAATAGTTTTGATCCCAAAACTAGTAACTCTATTTTTTGAGGATATTAAGATAGAGACTCTTCTCTCTCTCTCTTTCTATATGTAATTGGGGGGGGGGGACCCTAGAGGTCAACTAGTCTACCCTTTCCTTTGATTGACATGTCATTTTTTAATGTCAGGAGCTTTGCTTCTGGTGTGAGAATTGGTCGTCTGCAAGGACGTTGCCCAGATGTTTTGATGTTTGACCATCCTTGTCTCCGCTTCTCTCATGTCCCCGCATGGGGAGCTGGAGCTGACAGAGGGAGCTCATCCGTGCTCTCCCCGGATTCGAACCTCCGACCTGTCAGTCTTTAGTCCCGCCGGCACAAGGGTTTAACCCATTGCACCATTGCTCCTGATACGTCATAGTCGAAGCATCCATACCACAGAATTAATGCAGTTTGGCAACACTTTGAAAGCAGTGCAATGGGAGTTGTAGTTTCATAAGGTCTTGCACCTTCTGTGCCCAAAACGGTTTAGAATAGCTTTGGGTTTTAAGGCCGTGCAAAGGAATGCATAGTTCTCGGGCCTGGCGGGACTGATAGGGGCCCCCAAGTATTGACGTTCCTGATAAGGGATGAGGCCCACCTTCTTCTTATCGGGGGCCCAACCCAAGCAGGCCATGCTCTGGCCTCCCAGATGGGATACAAACCCATATAATAATTATAACATAATTATAATAATAATGGAAAAGCTGGCACAATATGAGGATTTAAAGATCGAACTGCAAAGTCTCTGGCACGGTGGTCCCAGTGGTGATCGGCACACTAGGTGCAGTGCCTCAAGACCTTGGCCTGCACTTAAACACAATTGGCGCTGACAAAATCGCCGCCAGTCAGTTTTCTCCGGAGACATCCAAAATGCGACAGTTTGGTCACCTTGGGTTTCTAGGGAGAGCTTGGGATTCGTAGTTTTGGAATAAGACTCAGTGAAGGAACCCAAGCTATGGCCACCGTGGCTTCTTAGGGAGAGTTTGGGATATATAGTTTCAGGATTAGATGCAGTGAAGGAACCCAAACTATGGTTCGATCACCTTGGCTTTCCAGGTAGAGCTTGGGATATATAGTTTCAGCATGATGCAATGAAGGAGTCCAAGCCTTGGTTGGGTCACCTTGGTTTCTCAAGAGCTTGGGATGTATAGTTTCAGGACAAGATGCAGTGAAGGAACCCAAGCTACGGTTCGATCACCTTGTCTTCCCAGGGAGAGCTTGGGATGTTTAGTTTCAGCATTAGACGCAATGACGGAGCCCAAGCCTTGGTTTGATCACCTTGGTTTCTCAGGGAGAACTTGGGATATATAGTTTCAGCGTAAGACGCAATGAAGGAGCACAAGCCACGGTTTGGCCACCTTGATTTCTCAGGGAGAGCTTGGGATATATAGTTTCAGGATAAGAAGCAGTGAAGGAGCCCAAGCCTTGGTTTGATCACCTTGGCTTCCCAGAGAGAACTTGGGATGTATAGTTTCAGCATAAGACATAATGAAGGAGCCCATTCCTTAGTTTGGTCACCTTGGCTTCCCAGGGAGACTTTGGTATGTATAGTTTCAGCGTAAGATGCAATGAAGGAGTCCAAGCCTCAGTTTGGTCACCTTGGTTGCTCAGGGAGAACTTGAGATGTATAGTTTCAGGACAAGACGCAATGATGGAGCCCAAGCCTTGGTTTGATCACCTTGGTTTCTCAGGGAGAACTTGGGATGTATAGTTTCAGTATAAGATGCAATAAAGGAGCCCAAGCTAAGGTTCGGTCACCTTGGCTTCCCAGGGACAGCTTGGGATATATAGTTTCAGGGTAAGACGCAATGAAGGAGCCCAAGCTAAGGTTTGATCACCTTGGTTTCCCAGGGAGAGCTTGGGATATATAGTTTCAGGATAAGATGCAGTGAAGGAACCCAAGCTACGGTTCGATCACCTTGGCTTCCCAGGGAGAGCTTGGGATGTATAGTTTCAGGATATAAACACAATGAAGGAGCCCAAGCCTCGGTTCGGTCACATTGGTTTCTCAGAGCTTGGGATGTATAGTTTCAGGATCTGGCAGTGAAGGAGCCCAAGTCTCGTTCAGTCACCTTGGCTTCCCAGAGACAGCTAGGGATATATAGTTTCAGAATAAGATGCAGTGAAGGAACCCAAGCTACGGTTCGATCACCTTGGCTTCCCAGGGAGAGCTTGGGATGTATAGTTTCAGCATAAGACACAATGAAGGAGGCCAAGCCTCGGTTCCAATCACCTTGGCTTCCTAGGGAGAGCTTGGGATATATAGTTTCAGGATAAAACACAATGAAGGAGCCCAAGCTAAGGTTTGGTCACCTTGCCTTTCCAGGGAGAGCTTGGGATATATAGTTTCAGGATAAAACACAATGAAGGAGCCCAAGCTAAGGTTTGGTCACCTTGCCTTTCCAGGGAGAGCTTGGGATATAGTTTCAGGATAAGACACAATGAAGGAGCCCAAGCCTTGGTTTGATCACCTTGGTTTCTCAGGGAGAACTTGGGATGTATAGTTTCAGTATAAGATGCAATAAAGGAGCCCAAGCTAAGGTTTGGTCACCTTTGCTTCCCAGGGAGAGCTTGGGATGTATAGTTCCAGGATATAAACACAATGAAGGAGCCCAAGTCTTGGTTCAGTCATTGTGTTTAATCCTGAAACTATATATCCCAAGCTCTCCCTGGGAAGTCATATAGTTTCAGGATAAAACACAACGAAGGAGCCCAAGCTAAGGTTTGGTCACCTTGGCTTCCCAGAGAGCTTGGGATATATAATATCTGGTGGGCTCTGGAGTTCAATAGTGGAATTGGCATGGGATGAGTGTTATGAAGTCCCTCAGAGGGATATAACTTAGGCGTGACCACCCAACCCTGACCCTAGCTTGGGATATATAGTATTTGGTGGGCTCTGGAGTCCAATGGGGGAATTAGCATGGGCCGAGTGTGTATGAAGTCCCTCGGGAGGGATATAACGTAGGCGTGACCACCCAACCCTGACCCTAGCTTGGGATATATAGTATTTGGTGGGCTCTGGAGTCCAATGGGGGAATTGGCATGGGCTGAGTGTGTATGAAGTCCCTCGGAGGGATATAACGTAGGCGTGACCACCCAACCCTGACCCTAGCTTGGGATATATAGTATTTGGTGGGCTCTGGAGTCCAATGGGGGAATTGGCATGGGCTGAGTGTGTATGAAGTCCCTCGGAGGGATATAACGTAGGCGTGACCACCCAACCCTGACCCTAGCTTGGGATATATAGTATCTGGTGGGCTCTGGAGTCCAATGGGGGAATTGGCATGGGCTGAGTGTTATGAAGTCTCTTGGAGGGATATAACTTAGGCGTGACCACCCAACCCTATGATCTTGATCCTGGTGCCACCCGAAAGGGGGTGCAGCTCTCCAGAGAGATAAGGAACCGAAAAAGGAGGCCGCCCCCGCCCCCCTTATCACCGGCGTCCAGGCGTAGAGATGCCTCTGGAGTAAACACCAGGTCCGGATCCTGCAAAATGAGCCAATCTCATGGAGCGGGGTCAACGTTTACCTCTTTTGGGGGGCTAGGAACCCAACGAGGCATTCATTCACACACCCCCAAAGATGGGGGATGCTCAGGAAGATCACCCCCCAAATATAGGAGACACTTGGCAAGATCACCCCCCAAAGATAGGAAACGCTCGGCAAGATCACCCCCCAAAGATAGGGGACACTCGGCAAGATCACAACACGTTTTATTGTACATGATGAGGATGATAATAATAATAATAATGTCACACTGGGGTGAACAGGAAGGGGTCTCCCGGGGACCCCCATGCGCCGGCCATGCAGATACGTCTTGGCATCGGAGGGAGGCGGAAAAAGTGGAGCAGCGGGGAGAGTGCGTAGAAAAGAGGGCAGAGTGAAATTGGGGGTTCGGGGGGGGGGGTCCCAGTTCAATATTCGGGGGTGGGGGGCTCCCCATTCCATAGTGAGGATCTGTCCCTCCCCCTAAACAACCTGAGAGGCTTCCAAAAAGGGGTGCAAAGGTACCCTTCTTCCTTGGGTTTGGGGTTTGTAAAAAAAGGGGGGGATTGGCACCGATTCCTTCGGGCAGCCCCCCAAAACGGTTTCAAAGCAAATTATGCAGTCGAGGGGCGACGAACACCCCATGGAGGGAGAAGGGAAACCAGCATGCATTTGGAAAACATAATGCAAATATTGTGTTGTTATGATTCTCTCTCAGCCACAAAATAATAAAAAAACGAGGGGTCGGCACCCCCACACCCACACCCCCCCGGTCATGGATTCAACGCAACGTAGGGCAACGATTGCACGCTTCTCAAGGACGGAAAAAGGACGTATTTCGGGGAGGAAAAAGAGTAAAATAGAGGGACATGCGGCGTCGTAAAGGAAGAGGAAAGCGTTATCCTTGGCACGCAACAGGCAGGGGCACCCCGAGTCCTGGACGTTTCTATAGAGACACCCCCACCCCCAAAATGGAGTTGGGTCTAGGATTTGTATCCGAGCAGGAGAGAGAGGAACCCCAAAAAATAGAGTCCCACGGGCGGTTTTTCACGGTCCGAACGGCGGATATGGCTCAAAATGCACCGTGGCAAAAAAAAAACAAAAATAAAAAACTAACTCCCCCCCCCAAAAAGAAGCACAAGAAGAGCCCCCACCCCCCCAAAAAATAGGGAACTATTTTGTGTGTGTATATAACAGAGGTCATTCAAGGCACAGACTTTGTTTGCGAGCGCGCGGACGAGAGATACAGAGAGGGGGCTTGGCGAGCGCAGCGGCGACAGAGCGGGAGTGGACCACCCCCCGGAAAGAGGAAGAAACCCCCCTCGGAAATGTTAAGGACGTTCTGATCCTCGGAGGGATATAAGGCACCCGAATGTAGGCCCGACCACCCCACCCCGGCCCGATGGTCTTGATCCCGGTGTCAGCCGAAAGGGAGGGAAAGGGGTGCTGGTCTTCACTGACCGGTCTCCTCTCTCTCCTCTCAGGCTTGGCCGCCGGTGGCCTTCTGGATGAGCGGGATCTGCAGGGAGACACAAAGGCACCTCTGGAGAAACAAGGTCGTACCAAAGCCGACTGGCACAACCTGGGGATCACAACCAGGCACAGTGGAGGCATCGGTTTAATATCACCAAGGACGACCACCTCACTCGCCTCATAGGAAACCTGCTACAAAACAGGAGCTTTTTTGTTGAGTTCCAGGGCCAGAGAAGCAGATGGCGGAAACAGAAGAATGGCCTGCCTCAGGGGAGCGTGCTTGCTCCATCCATGTTCCACATCTACACAAATGACCAGCCACTGTCAGAAGGGACAGTACTACTATTACTGCTACTAACAACAATAATATTGTTCAATGTATTGTCGAAGGCTTTCATGGCCAGAATCACTGGGTTGTTGTAGGTTTTTTCTAGCTATATGGCCATGTTCTAGAGGCATTCTCTCCTGACATTTCGCTAGCATTTAATGATCTTGCAGCTTCAAGATCTGGCTGCTCACTGCCTGGAGGAATCCTTTGTTGGGAGCCCAGAAAACTTGCAGCAACCCCGTGATTCTGGCCATGAAAGCTCTTGTCTGTGGGAGCCAAGTGTGAGCAGGAAAGAAAGACAAAAGCGAAGGAAGGATGAAAGGGAGGAAAGGAAAGGTGGAAGGAAGGGAAGGAGGAAAGAGAGAAGGAAGGAGGGAAGAAAAGGTGGAAGGAAATAGAGGGAGAGAGAAGGGAGGGGAGAAAGGGAGAGGAAAGAGAGGAGGAAAGACAAAAGGGAAGGAAGGAAGAGGGAAGAAAGGATGGAGGGAAGGAAGAAAAGAAGGAAAGAGAGAGAGAAGGAAGGAGGGAAGGAAATCGAGGGAGAGAGGAGGGAGGGGAGAAAGGGAGAGAGGAAAGAGAGGAGAAMAGACAAAAGGGAAGGAAGGAAGGAAGGAAGGAAGGAAGGARGGAAGRAAGGAWGGARRGAAGGAAGGAARGAAGGAARGAAAGAGAGAAGGAAGGAGGGAAGAAAAGGTGGAAGGAAATAGAGGGAGAGAGGAAAGAAAGGGAGAGAGGAAAGAGAGGAGGAAAGACAAAAGGGAAGGAAGGAAGAGGTTAAGAAAGAATGGAGGGAAAGGGAGGGAAGGAAGAGAGAAGGAAGGAGGGAAGATGGAAGGGAATGGAGGGAGGGAGAAAAGGGAGAGAGGAAAGAGAGGAGGAAACACGAAAGGGAAGGAAGGAAGGAAGGAAGGAAGGAAGGAAGGAAGGAAGGAAGAGGGAAGAAAGGATGGAGGAAAGTAGGGAGAAAGAGGGAAGGAAGGGAGGAAGGAAGGAAAGAGAGAAGGAAGGAGGGAAGAAAGGGTAGAAGGGAATGGAGGGAGGAAAGGGAGAGAGGAAAGAGAGGAGGAAAGATAAAAGGGGAGGGAGGAAGGAAGGAAGGAAGGAAGGAAGGAAGAAAGGAAAGAAGGATGGAAGAAAGAGGGAAAGGGAAGAAAGGAAGGTCAAAGGGGGGGGGGAGGTGCAAAGAAGGGAGGGAAGAAGGAAAGAGAGAGAGGAAGGACGGAAGGAAGGGATGGTGAAAGAGAGAAGGGCCTGAGAAAAAAGTCCAAGGGGCCACATTTGGGCCCCAGGCCTGGGTTTGCCGTATAGCCTTCTCTATAGCCTTACTTCTCCATGAACCTGCTAATATTGATGAGGCTAGATGGCCATCTGTTGGGATGGCTTTATTTACTTATTTACTTCACTTGTATACCAGTTTTCTCCCCACAGTGGGAGACTCAAAGCGGTTTCCAACATCATTGTGGCAAATTTTAATGCCTTGCTTACAGAAACCTAACGGTAGTAACATACAATTATCAATTCAATCATAAAACACAACATGGTTTCACATTAAAACATGGAATTAAAATATAACGATATATAACGATGGTGTCCTCTAGCCTGGTAGAAGAAGGTTGGGCTTCCAACTCTAGGATTATATGGATTCTGAAGCAGAGGCTGGATGTCTGTCTGTCGGGAAGGCTTTGACTGTGTGTTTCCTGCCTGGCAGAAGAGGGTTGGACCAGATGGCCTTTGGGGTCTCTCCCAGCTCTATTGTGCTGGGATTCCCTTCCTCCCCGTCCAGTTCTCTCCCTAACGAAGGGACTCTGGCCTAGGACTGGACGTTCCTTCCCTCTGTCCTGCTCACCTTGGAGAGGTCCACCCCGGTGAGGGCATGCACCGAGACGGGCACCTCCGCCAGGAGCCGGTTCAAGTCGGAGGTCAGTTTGTGGTTCTCCCCGCTCAGGATGACGATCTCGTCCACTTTGGAGAGAGGGGCAGAGACCTTGGCCGCAATCTGAGGAGAGAAAGAGAAGATGGTCACTCGGCTGGAAGGCTTGGCCGGACCCTCGCTCCCCGAACCCTGGACGGACCCCTCACCTGGGGCAGGGCATCCAGCACCATGGCGATCTTGGCCGCCTCCCCGTACTGCTGGTAGGCCTCGGCCTTCAGCTTCATCTTCTCGGCCTCCGCTTTCCCGATGGCCTCAATGACCAGGGCCTCGGCCTCCCCAATCTTGCGGATCTTCTCCCCCTCGGCCCGAGCAATCAGCACTTGCTTCACCCTTCAGAGACAGAGGAAGAGTGGGGCGTGAGGAGGGTCCCCAGAATGGGGGTTCTCACTCCCAAGCAGGCTGGGGAAGCACAACCTGATCTCGGTAGCCTTCTCCCTAATAGGACAGCACTGGAAAGGCTTTCAAAAAGCATGCGAAGGGCTCCTGAAATAACAACTATATACTGTATATACTCGAGTATAAGCCTAGTTTTGCAGCTCCTCTTTTAGGCTGGAAAAGCTCCCCTCGGCTTATACTCAAGTCAAAGTTATTTATTATTTTAGACTGTTATTAGTATTATTTTATTACATTTATTATTTTACTCTATTATTGGTATTATTACATTTACATTATTTTACTCTATTGTTATTTTATTACATTTATTTTATTTATTTATTATTATTACATTTATTATTTTACTTTATTGTTGTTATTAATACATTTATTAATAGTATTTATTATTTTACTCTATTATTGGTATTATTAGACTTACATTAATCTACATTATTTTATTCTATTTATTTTATTCTATTTATTATTATTATTACATTGTTTTACTTTATTACTGTTGTTATTACAGGTATTATTTTACTCTATTATTGGTATTATTAGACTTACATTATTCTATATTATTTTATTACATTTATTTTATTCTATTTATTACTATTATTACATTTATTATTTTACTTTATTGTTATTACTACATTTATTATTTTACTCTATTGTTGGTATTATTAGACTTACAGTATTCTATATTATTTTATTACATTAATTTTATTCTATTTATTATTATTACATTTATTATTTTACTTTATTTTTGTTATTATTACATTTATTATTTTACTCTATTATTGGTATTATCAGACTTACATTATTCTACTATATTATTTTATTACATTTATTTTATTCTATTTATTATTATTACATTGTTTTACTTTATTACTGTTGTTGTTATTACATTTATTATTTTACTCTATTATTATTGGAAGGATACGTTAGCACATTCACACTGAAAAAAAGTTAAAATAATGGTTTAATCAGAGTCAGTCAGTCTTACTTTAAATTACAGTTTTATGTAAACACTGAAAAACATTTAACCTATTCAATTAATGTAATTTTATTGGTATCGGTTTTTATTTTGAAATTGACTTGTAAATGCTGCATTTCCTACCCTCGGCTTAGACTCGAGTCAATACGTTTCCTCAGTTTTTGTGGTAAAATTATGTGCCGCAGCTTATATTTGGATCGGCTAATAATCGAGTATATACGGTACATGATGGGAAAACCCTTTACTTTTACCTTATATATAATGATGCAAAATAATCCGAATGCAACAGCATTAATAATACAAATGTAGTAATATAATAACTACATTTAATAATAATATAATATGCATAACACAAAATGATGAGAATATAAATATAATTCAACAATATAAATAATAATACAAATGTTGCACATTTCCCCTTGACATTAAGTCTAGTCCACTCCGACTCTGGGACTCATGTCCATTTCTATGCCGAAGAGCCAGCGTTCTCCAAAGACGCCTCCTAGGTCATTTGGCTGGCATGACTGCATGGAGCGCCGTTGCCTTCTCACCAAAGCAGTACCTATTGATCTACTCACATTTGCATGCTTTCAAACTGCTAGGTTGGCAGAAGCTGGGGCTAACAACGGGGGCTCACCCCATCCCATGGATTTGAACCGCTGACCTTCCAGTCAGCAAGTTCTGCAGCTAGGTGGTTTAATCCACTGCGCCACCGCGGCCCCTGTATGTGTATGCGTGTGTGTATGTATATATATATATATATATATATATATATATATATATATGTGTGTGTGTATATATATATAAACACACACACAAATACAAAATTTAACGTATAATATAAATATAACCATATAAATAATAATATAAATACAGTAATATAATCATTATTGTTGTTATTATTGTTTTATAATAATAAAATAAATACAGTAATATAATAATATAAATACAGTAATATAATTATTAATAATAATATAAATAATAATATAATTACAGTAATATAATTATTAATATAAATATAAATAATAATATAAATAATGATATAAATAAAGTAATATAATTGTTAATATAAATATAAATAATAATATAAATAATAATATAAATACAGTAATATAATAATGACATAAATACAGTAATATAATAATAATATAAATACAGTAATATAATTATTAATATAAATATAAATAATAATATAAATACAGTAATATAATAATGACATAAATACAGTAATATAATAATAATATAAATACAGTAATATAATTATTAATATAAATATAAATAATAATATAAATAATGATATAAATAAAGTAATATAATTGTTAATATAAATATAAATAATAATATAAATAATAATATAAATACAGTAATATAATAATGACATAAATACAGTAATATAATAATAATATAAATACAGTAATATAATTGTTAATATAAATATAAATAATAATATAAATACAGTAATATAATAATGACATAAATACAGTAATATAATAATAATATAAATACAGTAATATAATTATTAATATAAATATAAATAATAATATAAATAATGATATAAATAAAGTAATATAATTGTTAATATAAATATAAATAATAATATAAATACAGTAATATAATAATGACATAAATACAGTAATATAATAATAATATAAATACAGTAATATAATTATTAATATAAATATAAATAATAATATAAATACAGTAATATAATAATAAATGTTGTTGTTATTGTTGTATAATCCGCCTCTCCTTGCAGGTTTGATAGGAGGGTTTTCCCATCCAGCCTCACTTAAAACATTTCCATGGTGTATTTTCCATGACGAGACTAAATGGACTCCGTTCTAGTGCTTGGTCCAGGTCAGTCTGTGCCGACGCCAGGAATACAGGGCCTTACAGACTCACCAGTTTGTTATGGCCAGGTCTTTATGGGAAAAGGCCAGAGGAAAGAGCTTCTTGAGAGTTAGAACGGTTTGTCAGGGGGATAGGAGGCTGCCTCCGAGTCCCTGGAGGTTTTTAAGCAGAGGCTGGATGGCCACCTGTCAGGAGGGCTTTGATTGTGCCTTCCTGAATGGGGTTGGACTGGATGGCGCTATGTAAGAACCCCTTCCCTCCCTCTCCCGCCCTCTTTCCCTCACTTTTCTCCTTCCGCGATCTGCTGCATGCGGTGGGCCTCGGCTTCGGCGGGCAACTTGACGGTGGCCATGAGCTCCTTGTCGGTGCGGATGATCTCCTTCTCCTCCACGTCGATCTGCTTCCGGCGCTGGACCACCTCGATCTCGATCTCCTCCTGGCGGATCTTCTGCTGCTCTTTGGCTCCCTGCAACTCATAGGCCAGCTGGGCCTCTGCCGTCTGCCAGGGTCACACAACGGGGGTCACACAACAGTCTTCACCCTATTTCCTATCTTCACATACGCCCCCCCCCCCCATCTATGCGGCTGGAAATGCCTCCATTTTGCTCCTCCCTTGTAAACAAAGACAGAAAATTGTTTACAGAAATATTCCTTTTTTTGGGACTCTGGTTTACAGATCTCCTCTCTAAAGAAAAGTTTAACAGGCCCAGAAAAACAACAACCACTATTATTATTATTATTATTATTATTATTATTATTATTAAATATATAATATATCTTAATTATATATTTAATATTATTTAATATATAATAATTTAATTATATATTTAATACTATTTAATATATGGTATAATATATTTTATTATACACACACATACACACACACACACACACATATATATGCACACTGTCGAAGGCTTTCATGGCCGGAATCACTGGGTTGTTGTTGGTTTTTTCGAGCTATATGGCCATGTTCTAGAGGCATTCTCTCCTGACGTTTCGCCTGCATCTATGGCAAGCATCCTCACTCCTCTGAGGATGCTTGCCATAGATGCAGGCGAAACGTCAGGAGAGAATGCCTCTAGAACATGGCCATATAGCCCGAAAAAACCTACAACAACCCTATATACACACTATAAAATATATTATTATTATTATTATTATTATTAATCTATATTTTAAAAAATGTAATGTTCGTTTGTGGGATTAATATAACTCAAAAACCATTGGACGAATTGACACCTAATTTGGACACAAGAAAGACACCTCTCAGGCCAACGAGTGACCATCACCCATAAAAACACTGAAAAACACAGTACAAGAGACTTAAAAAGCCAAAAAAAAGCCCCAAAAATACATTAAAACGCATGCACAAAATATATATACACAAACGCACATATAGACACATATAGACACACTAAGCAAATATAGACTGGGCCACAGCAATGTGTGGCTGGGTATGACAAATAAAAAATAATAATAATAATAATAATAATAATAATAATAATAATAATAATTTTATGTAATAATGGTAGTGTTTAAAATAACTGCATTTAATAATAATAATCTTATATGATAATTTTATTGATAATAATTATTATTATTATCTAACAATAAATTCGTCTTTGTCACCTGCCTCTCCTCAAAGTGGGGTACAACACAGTCAAAACACATCAATATAAAACACGTACAACAAAATACATATATCAGTACACACCACTATAAAATACATACAAAATAATAATAGTACTACTACTACTACTAATTATTAATATTATTAGGTTGTTGTAGGTTTTTTCGGGCTGTTTGGCCATGGTCTAGAGGCATTCCCTCCTGACGTTTCGCCTGCATCTATGGCAAGCATCCTCAGAGGTCTGTTGGAACTAGGAAAAGGGTTTATATATCTGTGGAATGACCAGGGTGAGACAAAGGACTCTTGTCTGCTGGAGCTAGGTGGGAATGTTTCAACTGACCACCTGGATTAGCATATAATGGCCTGACAGTGCCTAGAGCAAACTTTTGTTGAGAGGTGATTAGATCTCTTTGTTTGTTTCCTCTCTTTTGTTTTGCTGTTGTAATTTTAGAGTTTTTTTTTAATACTGGTAGCCAAATTTTGTTCATTTTCATGGTTTCCTCCTTTCTGTTCTAATTTAATCACCTCTCAACAAAAGTTTGCAAAACGTCAGGAGAGAATGCCTCTAGATCAGTGATGGGCAACCTTTTGAGCTTGGTGTGTCAAAATTTGCCAAAAAGCTGTGCATATCTTGGGTGGGGTGTCAACTTTGAGAAAAAAAACAACAACACCATAATTTTGCAATATTTATAGTTTAAATGAGAAAAAATGTATATTCCATGCTGAGTTATGGAGTGAACAATGCTCAAACGTGCAGATGTTAAATTTGTAGAGCCTTATACAAATTTAAGGATGGAATTAGATTGGCTCTTATAAGGTGGACTTCTCTGTATGCGGCTGCATGTGGCCGCGTGTCATCAAAAATAGCCATGCGTGTCAGTGCTGACATGCAAGTCATAGGTTCACCATCACGGCTCTAGACCATGGCCATATAGCCCAAAAAAACCTACAACATCCCAGTGACTCCGGCCATGAAAGCCTTCAACAATATATTATTATTATTATTATTATTATTATTATTATTATTATTATTATTATCCTGCATTTTCGTTCCAAAAAGAGACTCAAAGTGGCTTGCAGTAAAACCAATAAAATACAATATTTTAAAAATGTTTTGCTTATATAATGAGATAGGTATATCCAAGTCCAGCCCTATAAAATACCTGCAGCCAAACCCCAAACCATTTCTCTCCTCTGCCCTTACCTTGACGTTGATCTCTTGGCTGAAGGCGGCCTTCTGCATTTCAAAGGCGCGCTTCGAGTTGGCCACTTTGGTGTCGGCCATGAACTTGATGTCCAGCATTTCCTTCTTGCACTCGGCCTCCTGCGGAGAAACACCGGCATTAAAGAGGGAAGGAAAGGCCTCCGAGGAAAAGACACGGCTCTGCTTGGCGCAAGGCGGGCCTCTCGCCAGGCAGCCTACATACGTACCCGGATGCCGGCGTCCCGCTCTGCCTCGGCCACCCCAATGTCCGCGTCCCGCTGGACGATTGCCGTCTGGGTCTTCCCCAGCGAACTCAGGTAGCTGACTTTGTCATAGACGTCCTGCAAGGGAGGAAGGGGAGCCGCGTCACCCCCCATTCGCCTTCCCTCCTCTTCTCCACAAATAGAGTTTAGGAATGAGAGTATTGTTCGATAATCTGTTGCTCTGAAGGCTGCAAACCAAGAGCTCTCTCCGTACCTTGATGGTGAAGCTGAGGATCTCAATGCCCATCCGCCCCACGTCTGGAGCCGCCACCTCCCGCACCAGTTTGGCAAACTGGTCCCGGTCCTGGTAGATCTGCTCCACCGTCAAGGTCCCTTGACGAGAAAGAAAGGGACATTATGGCCACCAAAACACAGCGAGGAGAAGGGATCCTTCTAAGACAGTGTTTCTCAACGTGGGGGTCGGGACCCCTGGGGGGGTCGCAAGGGGTTGTCAGAGGGGTCGCCAAAGACAATTAGGAAACACAGTATTTTCTGTTGGTCGTGGGGGTTCTGTGTGGGAAGTTTTGCCCAATTCTATCATTGGTGGAGTTCAGAATGCTCTTTGATTATAGGTGAACTATAAATCCCAGCCACTACAACTTCCAAATGTCAAGGTCTATCTTCCCCAAACCGCACCAGTGTCCACATTTGGGCATATTGAGTATTCATGCCAAGCTTGGTCCAGATGCATCGGTGTTCTCTGGATGTGGGTAAACTACAACTCCAAAACCCAAGGTCAATGCCCACCAAACCCTTCTAGTATTTTCTGTTGGTCATGGGAGCTCTGTGACCCAAGTTTGGCTCAATTCCATCATTGGTGGAGTTCAGCATGCTCTTTGATATTGTAGGTGAACTATAAATCCCAGCAACTACAACTCCCAAATGACAAAATAAATCCTCCCCTCAATCCCACCAAATTTGGGCGTATTGAATATTTGTGCCAAATGAATGAAAATACATCCTGCATATCGGATATTTACAAGATAATTCATAACAGGAGCAAAATCATAGTTGTGAAGTAGCAATGAAAATAATGTGATGGTTGGAGGTCAACACAACATGAGGAAGTGTATTAAGCGGTCATGGCATTAGGAAGGTTGAGAATCACTGTTCTAAGAGATTATTATATTATATTCTTATATTATAATGTAATACAATATACTACTACTAATAATCAAATGTTATAATTTCCGTATATACCCGAGTATAAGCCGACCCAAATAGCACCTAATTTTACCACAAAAAACTGGGAAAATGTATTGACTCGAGTATAAGCCCAGGGTGGGAAATGCAGCATTTACAGGTCAATTTCAAAATAAAAATAGACACCAATAAAATTATATTAATTTAGGCTTTAGTAGGTTAAATGTTTTTGAATATTTACATAAAACTGTAATTCAAGATAAGACTGTCCAGCTCTGATTAAACCATTATTCTAACCTTCTTCAATGTAAATATGCTTACATGTCCTCCAATAATAATAGAGTAAAATAATAATAATAATAATAGAGTAAAATAATAAATGTAACAATAACAATAATAAATAGAGTAAAATAATAAATGTATTAACAATAATAAAGTAAAACAAAATAATAAATGTAATAATAACAATAAAATAAATGCAATAATAATAGAGTAAAATAATAAATGTAATAATAACAACAACAAAGTAAAATAATAAATGACACTGACTCGAGTATAAGCCGGGGGAGACTTTTTCAGCCTAAAAAAGGACTGAAAAACTAGGCTTACGCTCGAGTATATACAGTATATTTTTACAAAATGATATATACATGGTACGCAACTATAATATAATTATTATTATTATTATTATTATTATTATTATTATTATTATTAGAAACACAACAAGATGATTCCACAGCAAACACGATCAATCTGCTAGCTATTGTATTGGATCACACTTCCCAAGTGTCTAGGACTATTATTATTATTATTATTATTATTATTATTATTTGAAACACAACAAGATGAGTCCTCCTCCTCCTTCTTCTGTTGCTATTATTATTATTATTATTATTATTATTATTATTATTATTCTGACACAAAAGCACAGTATGTCACAGCAAACGAGATCTCTATGCTGGATTTCGTATCACAAAATCACAAGTCAAACACTTCGCAAGGGTCTAGGACTGTGTGATGTATTATTACTATTGCTGGATTTATTATTATTATTATTATTATTATTATTATTATTATTTTACTGACACAAAAACACAGTGTGACACAGCAAAGAGATCTATATGCTGGATTTCGTATCACAAAATCACAAGTCGAACACTTCCCAAGTGTCTAGGACTGTGTTATGTATTTATTATTATTATTATTATTATTATTATCTGACACAAAAACACAGTATGTCACAGCAAACGAGATCTCTATGCTGGATTTCGTATCACAAAATCACAAGTCGAACACTTCCCAAGGTCTAGGACTGTGTGATGTATTATTACTATTACTATTATTATTATTATTTTACTGATACAAAACCACAGTATGTCACAGCATATGAGACCTCTATGCTGGATTTCGTATTACAAAATCACAAGTCGAACACTTCCCAAACATCTAGGACTGTGTGATGTATATTATTATTATTATTATTATTATTATTATTATTATTATTGTGTCAGGAGTGAGTTTGTCACAGCAAATGAGATCTGTATGCTGGATTTCGTATCACAAAAATCACAAGTCGAACACTTCCCAAGCGTCTAGGACTGTGTGTTATTATTATTATTATTATTATTATTATTATTATTTTACTGATACAAAACCACAGTATGTCACAGCAAATGAGACCTCTATGCTGGATTTCGTATTACAAAATCACAAGTCGAACACTTCCCAAACATCTAGGACTGTGTGATGTATATTATTATTATTATTATTATTATTATTATTATTATTATTGTGTCAGGAGTGAGTTGAGAAACTGCAAGTGAGAGAATTGGCCATCTGCAAGGACATTGCCCAGGGGACGTTGCCCGGATGTTTTATGTTTACCATCCTTGTGGGAGGCTTCTCTCATGTCCCCTGCATAGGGAGCGGGAGCTGACAGAGGGAGCTCACCCACGCTCGCCCCAGAGTCGAGACTCCGAACTGTCAGGCATCAAGGTTTTAACCCATTGAGCCACCGTGGGATTAATGACACCCCCAAAAGACAATCCCTGGCCTTAGCATGATGGAGAAAAAGGTATGAGGAAGACCTCTCTCCCTGATTGGCTTTGGCCAAAGTGGGTTTCTCTGGGGGGCCCTGCTCCCCCTCCCGGCCCCTGCCCCGCACCTAAGATGGAGCGGAGGTGCCCCTCCAGCGTCTGAAGGACCACGTTCTTGATGTCTTGCACGTTCTTGCCCAGGAACTGCTCGCATGCCACCGCCAGGAGCTCCTTCTCCGTCATGATCTTCACCTGCAGACACGGAAAAGAGAAGGGCGTGAAAAAGGAGAGGAGACCCACGGGAGACAAAAAGGCAACCGGACACACACCTCACAACTGACCGGGGATTCTGGGAGCTGTAATCCAAAAAGGGGGTGCTTTGATGAGCTGTGGTCAAGCAGGGAGAAAATAACGTACGCAAGTCAGGCCTGGGGCTCAACACAAGCCCCCTCCACAATCCAACATGGCAGCCCTTCGAATTGTAGGGGCTGTATAGTTTTGGGTTGCTGTGAGTTTTCTGGAGTGCCTGGCCATGTTCCAGAAGCGTTCTCTCCTGATGTTCACCCACATCTATGGCAGGCATCCTCAGAGGTTGTGAGGTCTGTTGGAAACTAGGCAAGTGATGGTTATATGTTCTGGAAAAACTCTTGTCTATTTGAGGCAAGTGTGAATGTTGCAATTGACCACCTTGATTACTATTGAATGGCCTTGCAGCTCCAAAGCCTGGCTGGTTGCTGCCTGGGGGAATCCTTGGTTGGGAAGTGATTGCAGCCATCAGCCAGGCTTTGGAAGCTGCAACCCAATAAAAACAATAATAAATAGTATAATAATAATAACATATAATAGCATAATATAATACGGAGAGGTGGTTAATAACATTATAATATTAATAACAACATATAATAGCATAATATAATACGGAGAGGTGGGTAATAACATTATAATATTAATAATAACAACATATAATAGCATAATATAATAAGGAAAGGTGGATAATAAAATTATTATTGATGATAGTAATGATAATTCTAATTATTATTATGATTCTTGACGCTATGTTGTTCCCTGCCTTGAGCTGTAAGGAGAGATGGGTAATAAATACAAAATTGTTGTTGTTGTTGTTATCCCAAGGTCCCAGAATTGAGGCGGATGCCTCGCTTTCCTCACAATGGCAGAGAAGGCCACAGGGAGACTACTATTATTATTACTGTTATTGTATTCCATTTTTTCCTCTTTGAAAACACGGTTTATATATCTGTGGAATGATGTCCAGGGTGGGAGAAAAAAACTCTTTGATTGTTTGAGGAATTGATTATCACCGAATGGTCATGCAGCTTCAAGGTCTGGCTGCTCGCTGCCTGGGGGAATCCTTTGTTGGGAGCCCGGAAAACTCACAGCAACCCAGTGATTCCAGCCATGAAAGCCTTCGACAATATGCTGTGTTGTTCTCACAAAAAGAGGGCATCTCCTACCTTTTTCGGATTACAGCGCCCCAAATCCCCAAATCTTCCAAATCTTGGATTCTTCCCAGTGCCAAAGGTATGTTTTCCCAGTGCCAAACGTACTTTTTTTTTTCTTAAATAAGAGCCAAAATATGTCAACCTGGCTCTGTTGTCAACAACCGATTCAGAGCAATCTTTTGGATTTGTCTGAACCAATCCTCAGAGGAGAAAAAAGCAAAGTTGTTTTTTTAAAAAAAAAAATGAACAAACAAAGAAGTCATTATTTAAATATTGGAAATATAGTTCAGAAGGACCGCAGAGCAAAACTATTCCTTTCGGATCACAAGAAGAAGGCAGGGGTGTGAGAACATGAACCATCAAGATTATTAAGATTGTCTGGAGAGGCCCTGCTCTCGGTCCCACCAGGTTCGCAAGTGCGTCTGGTGGGGACGAGGGACAGGGCCTTCTCGGTGGTGGCCCCTCGACCTTGGAACTCCCTTCCACAGGAGATCAGAACCGCCCCTTCTATCCTGACATTCAGGAAACAGGTGAAGACGTGGCTATGGAGACAGGCATTCGATGAGTGAGCCAACACCCAGAGAGGATAATGAACATCAAATTTAGTGGGACAACTGACCATTGTTTTTATTGAATATAATTACTGTTTTGCTGTTTTAATGTTTTATTGCAATATGAAGTATGATATTTACTGATTGTATGTATTTTACGGTTGGAAACCGGTCTGAGTCCCTCAAGAGAGATGAGAAGGTCGGTATATAAAACTTTTAAATAAATTAAATAAATAAATAAATAACATCCACTCCAGGTATTGTAATTGTCAGAAATATTAACACTTAATTAGGTATTTCTGATGACAAAAGTGTGACTCAAGGTTTTTTGATAGTGACTTTTTGTATGTTTTTATGTCAGTAATTGCAATGCAATGCTGGAAACTGTCCTGAGGCCCCTCTGGTATACAAATAAAGTTTTATTATTTGTTATATTATTATTATAATTGTAATATTATTGTAATTAACCTATTATAACAACTGCTGCTCTGGGCCAGAGTGAAGAGAGAGGGGGTCAAAAGACAGTTCCACCTTGTCTCCTCTGCTATTCTAATAACATAATATAATATGATATAATGTAATGTAATATATTGTATATGTATATAATATTTATAATATTATAATGTAATACAATATAATGCTAATAATAATATGATATAATTATATATATTTATATTACATGTACTATTACTAATAATATTACAATATAATGGTATAGTACAATATAATAATATATAATACTGATATTGTACTATGCTAATAATATAATATTTTATTTATTTATTTATGGCATTTATACGCCGCCCTTCTCACCCTGAAGGTGACAGAGTGGCTTACAGGATATATATACATACAATATATATTATTAGCATCGCACAATATCAGTATTATATTTTACTATATTGTACTATACCATTATACTATATTATTAGTAGTATTACATATAATATAAAATATATATATTATATATATTATTATTATTATTATTATTATTATTATTATATGAGGGCAAAATGATCAAGGGTCTGGAGAACAAGCCCTATGAGGAGTGGCTTAAAGAGCTAGGCATGTTTAGCCTGAAGAAGAGAAGGCTGAGAGGAGACATGATAGCCATGGATCAATATGTGAGAGGAAGCCACAGGGAGGAGGGAGTAAGCTTGTTTTCTGCTTCCATGGAGACTAGGACGCGGAACAATGGCTTCAAACTACAAGAGAGGAGATTCCATCTGAACATTAGAACTTCCTGTGAGAACTGTTCAGCAGTGGAACTCTCTGCCCCGGAGTGTGGTGGAGGCTCCTTCTTTGGAAGCTTTTAAACAGAGGCTGGATGGCCATCTGTCAGGGGTGATTTGAATGCAATATTCCTGCTTCTTGGCAGAATGGGGTTGGACTGGATGGCCCATGGGGTCTCTTCCAACTCTAGGATTCTATTATTATTATTATTATTAAGCAGAGGCTGGGTGGCCATCTTTCGGGGGTGCTTTGAATGCAATTTTCCTGCTTCTTGGCAGAATGGGGTTGGACTGGATGGCCCATGGGGTCTCTTCCAACTCTAGGATTCTATTATTATTATTATTATTAAGCAGAGGCTGGGTGGCCATCTTTCGGGGGTGCTTTGAATGCAATTTTCCTGCTTCTTGGCAGAATGGGGCTGGACTGGATGGCCCATGGGGTCTCTTCCAACTCTAGGATTCTATTATTATTATTATTATTATTATTATTAAGCAGAGGCTGGATGGCCATCTGTCAGGGGTGCTTTGAATGCAATATTCCTGCTTCTTGGCAGAATGGGGTTGGACTGGATGATGGCCCAGGAGGTCTCTTCCCACTCTAGTATTCTATTATTATTATTATTATTATTATTATTATTATTAACAGAGGCTGGATGGCCATCTGTCAGGGGTGCTTTGAATGCAATATTCCTGCTTCTTGGCAGAATGGGGTTGGACTGGATGGCCCAGGAGGTCTCTTCCAACTCTTGGATTCTATTATTATTATTATTATTATTATTATTATTATTATTATTATTAAGCAGAGGCTGGATGGCCATCTGTCAGGGGTGCTTTGAATGCAATATTCCTTCTTCTTGGCAGAATGGGGTTGGATTGGATGGCCCATGGGGTCTCTTCCAACTCTAGGATTCTATTATTATTATTATTATTATTATTATTATTAAGCAGAGGCTGGGTGGCCATCTTTCGGGGGTGCTTTGAATGCAATTTTCCTGCTTCTTGTCAGAATGGGGTTGGACTGGATGGCCCATGGGGTCTCTTCCAACTCTAGGATTCTATTATTATTATTATTATTATTATTATTATAGGCTGGATGGCCATCTGTCAGGGTGATTTGAATGCAATATTCCTGCTTCTTGGCAGAAGGGGGCTGGACTGGATGGCCCATGGGCTCTCTTCCAACTCTGTGATTCTATGATTCTTAGTATTATATTACATTATAATATGAATATTACATTTATATACAATATATTATATTATTACCATAACACAGACTATCTATATATTATATTATATATTATATTATATTATATTATATTATATTATATTATATTATATTATATCTTGTAAGCCGCTTTGAATCCCCTTCGGAGTGAGAAGGGTAGCATATAAATGATGTAAATAAATAAATAATAAATTATTAAATTATATTATTATTATTATTATTATTATTATTATTATTATTATTATTATTTCAAGGGACTTTCCGTAAAAAATGTTGCCGTGATCACATTTTGAATAACCATCCACATTGGGAAAATATATATACATACACGGAGAAGGTCTTCGGAACATCCAGTACCCGGCGGGAACCCACAACCCCAAACCCAACGAGACCCAAACCCGAATGCATAGAGAGAGAGAGAAAGAGAGAGAGATGCAGGCAGCTCCGTGGGGAGGAGAGAAGGAGGTGCGCCTGGGAGGCGACGAAGGTGCCAGGTGCCGCCGCCGCCTGCTGCACAGGTGAGGGGCAAGCGGTGACCTGCTTTTCCGCGAAGAAGGGTTAAGAGTCATGCACCCCTCCTCGAAAGGAGGGCGGTGGTTTCGAGTTACTGTACCTGGGCCACACCTGTGACAGTTAAAGCTACCCCCTCCGCCGTCTCTACGTCCTCGCACCTGGGCTGTAACGTCATTATCTCTAGGGAAATCCTGCCAAATAAACGTAAAACATTGGCATGTGTCTCGGTACACGCCGCCACAGGCCTCTCTCCCCGCGTTTTGGGCTCGGGGCTACCTCTCGCTTTCCTCCGAGGTAATCATACAAGACGCAAGGCCTCAGCATCGTGCCAAGTGGCCCCAAGGGCCCTCCCTCCCGCCGACTTTGGGGTCACATCAATGGTGGAGGTTCAGGTCCTCAAGAGCTCAAATCCCTTGCTGCTGGAGGGGTTTTTGGAAGAACTGGTCTTATATATGGAATGCTTTTAGGAGTTACCCATTTGGGTAATGGTCAGAAAAATGCCCTGAACACTATAGGAACCTGAGAAGGAAGGATAAAAGAAAGGCTGTCTCTATTTACATCTCAATAATAGAATAGCCAAGTTGGAAGGGGTCACAAAAGCTGGGATTCCAGGTAAAGCATCCCCAACATCCAGAGAAAGAAGACCGAACCCAGTGGCATTGGATTCCATCTCTTTATCTTTTTCTGGAGTATTACAAAGAGGGAAAGATCCCTCCTTTGTTCGAGATAGAAAAGGCAACAGGCTCCCTTGATATTCGGTTTAGTCGTGTCCGACTCTGCAGGGTGGTGGTTATCCCCATTTCTAAGCCGATGAGCCGGCGTTGTCCATAGACACCTCCAAGGTCATGTGGCCAGCATGACTGCACGGAGCGCTGTTATATTTCCCACCGAAGTGGTACCTATTGATCTACTCAATAGTCCCCATTGGGGAAATATTGGCAGGAAATAAAGTTTATTATTACTACTACTACTACTACTACTACTACTCACATTGGCATGTTCTCGAGATAGAAAAGGCAACAGGCTCCCTTGATATTAAGTTTAGTCGTGTCCGACTCTGCAGGGTGGTGGTTATCCCCATTTCTAAGCCGATGAGCCGGCGTTGTCCATAGACACCTCCAAGGTCATGTGGCCAGCATGACTTCATGGAGCGCTGTTATATTTCCCACCGAAGTGGTACCTATTGATCTACTCATTGGGGAGATATTGGCGGGAAATAAAGTTTATTATTATTATTATAATTATAATTATTACTCACATTGGCATGTTTTCGAACTGCTAGGTTGGCAGAAGCTGGTGCTAACAGCGGGAGCTCACACCGCTCCCTGGATTTGAACCGCCAACCTTTTGGTCAGCAAGTTCAGCGGCTCAGCAGTTTAACCCACCGCGCTACCAGGGGATTAATCATAAGGCAAAAGAGCTCCTCAAGTGCCTGATGCCAAGCCAGGGAAAGGATATAATTGTTTATTGCTCATTGTATAATATTGTTTTAACTGTTTTTAATTTGCTTTAGGTTGTGTATTGTTATGTTGTGTTTTGTGGCCTTGGCCTTTGTAAGCCGCATCGAGTCCTTCGGGAGATGCTAGTGGGGTACAAATAAAGTTAATAATAATAATAATATAATTCATAATTTACGGGTTGTTTGTATTGTTGTTGTTATGTATTACTGGGCTTGGCTTCATGTAAGACACCCTTTGGGGAGATGGTGGCGGGGTATAAATAAAGATACATTGTACATTATTGTTGTTGTGATATTGTAAATAATAAATAAATAAATGCCGCTCCCCGGATTTGAACCCGCAACCTTTCGGTCAGCAAGTTCAGCAGCTCAGTGGTCTAACCGGGGATTCCGAGGGGAGTGTTGGGGAGACACTAACCTTTACTGTGAAGGGTAAAAAAGTGGGAAAGAGTGCCAGTTTGAGTCTCAAATGGTGATTTTGAGAAGCAGGAGGCCCCTGGCTCAAGGAGGCCAGGACGGAAGTGCTGCCTCCATCCGAAATCTGCTAGGCCAGCCTCCTTTCTTCCCTTTCTTCTCCGAAATGGGTTCCCTCCTGCCTCCGTGCCACTGCGCCGCACTTGTGAAGCAGGCAGGCGTGAATGCAGAGTGGCAAGTGGGTGCCGGCCGCATTGGTTTCCCCAAGGACTTTGGAAGAGCTCTGCATGCGTCTGTCTCTCTACATTACCAGGGAGTGCGACGGCAGGTAGCGAGAGCCAGCAACGGAAGAGGAGGGAAAGAGAGAGAGAGAGAGAGAGAGAGAGAGAGAGAGGAAGGAAGTGCCGGTGCGGAAAGAGAGAAAGGCGAGCGCAAAAAGGGTCCTCTCTCTGGTGGATGCTGCCACCCGCCGCCTGCGTGGGACAGAAGGGAGACGGAGACGGGTTAGAGGACAACACACACACGTCCAGAAGCGGCGGGATCATTACCTGTGCGACCCCCGTTACGTACAGTGGGACCCCCTCCGACGTCTCAATATTCTCACAGCGACAAAGGATGGTCATAACCTCCAAAGACAGTCTGAGCAGCAATAAATAGATAAGGGTAGGACAGCAAACACACAAGGTGGTTACCAGAGAGCAACAGAAACCCATTCGCCAAGGGGAAGCAAGGAAGGAAAGGAGGAAGGAAGACGGGACTTTCCTCGGACGCGTCGGGCGACATCTCCCTCCATATTCAGTGGACGCCACCCAGGGATGAGAGGAATTGCAGCTCCTTGGGTCTCAAATGGGCCACATTCTATATATCACAAAACACTCTGGCCAGTCACATATATCTTTTAAAGCTGTCTTCCTAAGCCAGTGGTTCTCAACCTGGGGGTCGCGACCCCAGGGGGGTCGCCTGGCTATTTTGGAGGGGTTGCGAGGCTGCCTCCGTGGTCCCGCCCCAAGGGTGTGGGCCAGACGAGGGCTCCTCCGTGCGAGGCCTGGCCTTTCGCAAAGCCCGCCTCACCTGCCTCGCTCTATCGCCATCCGGTGAGGGTGCGGGGCAGGTGAGGGGTCCTCCATGTGAGGCCTGGCCTCACACAAAGCCTGCCTCACCTACCTCGCATTCTTGCCATCGGCAAGGGCGCGGGGCAGGTGAGGGGTCCTCCATGTGAGGCCTGGCCTCGCACAAAGCCTGCCTCGCCTACCTCACATTCTTGCCATCGGCGAGGGCGCGGGGCAGGTGAGGGGTCCTCCACGTGAGGCCTGGCCTCGCACAAAGCCTGCCTCGCCTACCTCACATTCTTGCCATCGGCGAGGGCGCGGGGCAGGTGAGGGGTCCTCCACGTGAGGCCTGGCCTCGCACAAAGCCTGCCTCGCCTACCTCACATTCTTGCCATCGGCGAGGGCGCGGGGCAGGTGAGGGGTCCTCCACGTGAGGCCTGGCCTCGCACAAAGCCTGCCTCGCCTGCCTTGCCCTCTCACCATCCACTGAGGGCACGGGGCAGTTGAAGAGTCCTCCATGCGAGGCCTGGCCTCGCACAAAGCCCACCTTGCCTACCTTGCATTCTTGCCATCGGTGAGGGCACGGGGCCGGCAAGGGGTCCTCCACGCGAGGCCCAGCCTCGTGCAAAGCCCGCCTCGCCTGCCTCGTGTTCTCGCCATCCAGGAGTTCTGTGTGGAGGTCTCAGTGGTCTGTGGAAGTCAGCACTGAATCAGCTGAAGGTACTGCAAATCTATACCTTAAATTATTATTATTATTATGTAATGTATATACTATAATATTTATAATATTATAATGTAATGCAATATAATACTACAACTAATAATATGATATTATTTTATTTATTTATCGTTTCAGGGGCAACCAGACCATTGTATTACATTTCTAACAGAACAAAACAAACAAACAGATAAAAAAACACAAAGTTTACAAACTTGGTAGTTGATTAAATGTCCACCCTACTGGGATCGGCACACATTATTCGCCAAAACATCACACAGCCCGAGACACTTGGGAAGGGTCCGACGTGTGATCCAATACAACAACCATCGTAGTGATCTTGTTTGCTGTGTACTAATCTTGTTGTGTTTCAAATAATAATAATACAGGGGCTCTAGAGGGTTTCCATAAATCCTTGAGGCCAGCACCAAGCTGCTTCTGCTTCCTTTGCTCCCAGCCAACCAAAGGCTCAACCTTTAGAAGAGGAAGCCCCCCAAGAAGTCTGTAGCCATCCTGACTTGGAATTTCCAACGGCCTGTTAGTAACTCTGCATCTCCAGGCAGTGAGTTCCATGGTTTCACTATTAAACGCCCAATTAAGAGTGAGCTGAAGTGGAAACAGAAACCAGAAGCAGAGGAAGTCTTGAGCTTTTCTGCAACGCTTGCCGTGACGTGGAAATATTTGAGAGGGAACCTTATTTCCCATTCAGTTTTGGTCCACAACTTGAGGGCCAAAAATGAATGGGATATAACGTTCCCTCTGAAATATTAAAAGTACAGCCTTTCTTGTACCACTGGATACCATTAAAACAACAACAATGATGCTAACAGGAAGATCTGAGCATCTAACTGAAGTGAGTAGAGGCAACAGACCTCTGGATGTCCAGATGTGCTTCTCAAAAAGTGTAGATCAGTGTTTCTCAACCTGGGGGTCGGGACCCATGTGGGGGTCGCGAAGGGGTGTCAGAGGGGTCACCAAAGACCATAGGAAAACATAACATTTTCTATTTGTCATGGGTGTTCTGTGTGGGAAGTTTGGTCCAATTCTATCATTGGTGGGGTTCAGAATGCTATTTCATTGTGGGTGAACTATGAATCCCAACAACTACAATTCCCAAACGGCAAGGTCTATTTTCTCCAACCTCTACCAGTGTTCACATTTGGGCATATTGGTTATCTGTGCCAAGTTTAATCCAGATCCATCACTGTTTGAGTCCACAGTGTAGGTGAACTACAACTCCAAAAACTCAAGGTCAGTGTCCACCAGACTCTCCCAGTATTTCTCTTGGCCATGGGAATTCTGTGTGCCAAGTTTGATTCAATTCCATCGTTGGTGGAGTTCAAAAGGCTCTTTGATTTTAGGTGAACTATAAATCCCAGCAACTACAACTCCCAAATGACAAAATCAATCCCCTCCACCCCACCAAATCCCATTTGGGCGTATCGGGTATTTGGTCCAGTGAATGAAAATACATCCTGCATATCAGATATTTATATTATGATTCATAACAGGAGCAATATTAAAGAAGTAGCAACGAAAATAACGTTATGGTTGGGGGTCACCACAACGTGAGGACCTGTACTAAGGGGTCGCGGCATTAGGAAGGTTGAGAATTAGGAGAACCACTGGTGTAGATGTTCCTCAGCAATGGGGTTTTGCCACTGACTCACTGCTAGGATCAAACTAGAAGTTTTCTGAAGCTACAGAAGGAGAGTTGTTCCCAATTCCCTTTCCTAAGGAATGCCCCAGGAAGTCCCGTCTTCCCCCTTTCCTTGTTGGTGCTTCATGAGGTGGGAGGGAGCTCCCACCAGACATGCGGTGGAATCCAGGTCTTCCCATTCCCCCGGAAAACTGCCCCAAGGGACCCCGCCGGCTACACATCGCAGCAGTTCAGGAGGGCAGCAGCGAGCGGCACAGGAAAAGGGTTAGTCAGAGGCTGCGCAAAAGAGACACAGAGCAAGCCAGAGTTAAGAGAGAGAGAGAGAAAGACAAGAGCACACAAATTGGGGGGAGGGGGGGCGGGGGCGGACGCCTTCCCTCGAGAGCCGGCTAGCAAAGGTAGCCCTCCCGGTCTGAGGAATGCCAGCACACCTCTCCGAATCTGGGTCCAAATTGCCCATCTTAACTGGTAGGCCTTTAGCACCATCTACTGGACATAGTATCATGGGCTTGCTGTAATCTCTCATACTCCCAACTCAAGAACATAATGTTGATGGACAGGAAAAGAGAACTCTAAGATCTTCTGGGGAGGCCCTCCTCTCGGCCCCACCTCCATCACAAGCATGGTTGGTGGGAACGAGAGGGCCTTCTCGGTGGTGGCCCCTCGCCTCTGGAACACCCTTCCAAGGGAAATAAGACAGGCCCCATCCCTCCCCTCCATTCATAAGAGCTTGAAGACATGGTCAAGAAAAGGGGACATAATGTTGGTGGACAGGAAAAGAGAACTCTACGATCTTCCGGGGAGGCCCTCCTCTCGGTCCCACCTCCGTCTCAAGCGCGGTTGGTGGGGACGAGAGAGAGGGCCTTCTCGGTGGTGGCCCCTCACCTCTGGAACGCCTTTCCAAGGGAAATAAGACAAGCCCCATCCCTCCCCTCCTTTCATAAGAGCTTGAAGACCTGGTGGTTTCAACAAGCCTTTGAAAATGGCCAGCTCTAACTCAGTCTTACACATTGTATAATACGGCCTTATTCTTCCTACCAATTCTCCCCAGATTCGGACCTGCGACCTGTCGGTCTTCAGTCCTGCTGGCACAGGGGTTTAACCCACTGCGCCACCCAAATTTGGTATCAATTCATCCAGTGGTTTTTGAGTTATGTTAATCCCACAAACGAACATTACATTTTTATTTATATAGATTTAATACTGATATTGTATTATGCTAATAACATAATATATTGTATGTATATATATCTTGTATGCTACTCTTCGGGGTGAGAAGGGCGGCATACAAACATCGTAAATAAATAAATATTATTATTATTACCTTAAATAATAATAATAATTATTGTTGTTGTTGTTATGTAATGTATATACATATATGTATAATATTATAATCTAATACAATATAATACTACTAATAATATATGATATTATAATTATATATTTAGATTACATGGAATATTGCTAATAATATTACAATATAATGGTAAAATATTGTAATATTTAATACTGATATTGTACTATGCTAATAATATAATATATTTATGTATATATATCTTGTAAGCCACTCTGAGTCCCCTTTGGGATGAGAAGGGTGGTATATAAATGTTGTAAATCAATCAATCAATAAAGAATTATACAAAGCATCCATGTACTCTTTAAGAAAGTGGTGGTGTTTTACTCTTTGACGCATCATGGTGTTATTGTTACTGTTTATTGCTTTGTTTATGAGTTTATTTATTGTTTGTATTGCTTTTTTATTGATGTATTTGGGCTCGGCCTCTTGTAAGCCGCACCGAGTCCTTCGGGAGATGGTAGCGGGGTATAAATAAAGGTTTATTATTATTATTATTATTATTATTATTATTAAGAAAGTACCTCTCCAAAAGGGATCAGAAAGGCCATAATGGGTAGCAGACGCTCCAAGCCATTGACATCCCTCAAATACAACACAGGAACTGTTTATTATTATTATTATTATTATTATTATTATTATTATTATTATTATTATTATTAAGAAAATACCTCTCCAAAAGGGAACAGAGAGGCCATAATGGGTAGGAGATGCTCCAAGCCATTGACATCCCTCAAATACAACACAGGAACTGTTTATTATTATTATTATTATTATTATTAAGAAATTATCTCTCCAAAAGGGATCAGAGAGGCCATAGTGGGTAGCAGACGCGCCAAGCCATTGACATCCCTCAAATACAACACAGGAACTGTCTCTCCCACCCCCACCCCCCCACCCATCATTCCCAGGGAGCCATTGCACTGCCACTTAAGACCCATATTCCAAGAAGTGTTTCTGGCACTCGTTCTGTCCAAATAGTTCAACGAGGGAAGTGTCTCCAGCAGAGAAAAGGACCACACAGACACCTTGGGTGGCCTGGAGAAAGCCCATCAGGACTGGTCCTCTCTCCAAGCCACAGCCAGCATCATTGACGGGGTGTTCATGCAGCTCAACACGATCTACATAGCAAGGAGAGGGCACCTCCAGGGCTTCCCTTCCTCCCCGGGCTCTGGCCTCCCAGCTGTCCCCCATTCCCAGCTCTGAGGACTGGGAAAAGAGGTGCCGGGGGCCTTCCCTGTTGACATATATAGTCAACCCATGCTACTCGTTTTCCCAAAAAGGAGACTATGGAGGCCTTCCCCTCGCTTACCTCTGGGTGTCGGAGATGCACCACCAGGCCCAGGCCCAGCCGCCATAGATGTACTGCTTGTTATCGGAGCCACAGCACCCTCCTGCAAGGAAAGAAGACATCATCCACCATTCACTCCTCGTTTCTGATTTATTTGTCTAACTTATGCTCAGCACATCAACAAGAAACATTAATAAGGTGAGGTTCAAAACAAAAGTAACTGGTGTTTAGCCCACCACCTCACCCGCCTCATGGGAAACCTGCTACAAAACAGGAGCTTTTTTGTTGAGTTCTAGGGCCAGAGAAGCAGATGGCGGAAACAGAAGAACGGCCTGCCTCAGGGGAGCGTGCTTGCCCCATCCATGTTCAACATCGACACAAATGACCAGCCACTGCCAGAAGGGACAGAGAGCTTCATCTATGCTGATGAACGTGCCATCACCGCTCAAGCAGGGAGCTTTGAGATGGTTGAAGAGAAGGTATCCGAAGCTCTAGGTGCTCTTACTGCTTACTACAGGAAAAACCAGCTGATCCCTAATCCATCTAAAACACAGACATGTGCTTTTCACCTTAAGAACAGACAAGCATCCCAAGCTCTGAGGATGACCTGGGAAGGAATCCCTCTGGAGCATTGCAGCGCACCAAATACCTGGGAGTCACCCTGGACCATGCTCTGACCTACAAGAAGCACTGCCTGAATATCAAGCAAAAAGTGGGTGCTAGAAACAATATCATACGAAAGCTGACTGGCACAACCTGGGGATCACAACCAGACACAGTGAAGACATCTGCCCTTGCGCTATGCTACTCTGCTGCTGAGTACGTATGCCCAGTGTGGAATGCATCTCACCACACTAAAACAGTGGATGTGGCTCTTAATGAGACATGCCGCATTATCACGGGGTGTCTGGGCCCTACACCACTGGAGAAATTACTCTGCTTAGCCAGTATTGCACCACCTGACATCCGCTGGGAAGTGGCAGCCAATAGTGAAAGGACCAAGGCAGAGACATCTCCAGCTCATCCCTTGTTTGGGTATCAGCCAGCACATCAATGAGTTAATTCAAGAAATAGTTTTCTTAGATCTACAGAGACACTCGCTGGAACACCTCAGCAAGCGAGAGTTCAAAAGTGGCAGGCTCAAACCCAGCACCTCAATCCATGGCTGATACCAGATGAGAGACTCCTTCCTGGGCACACAGAAGACTGGGTAACTTGGAAGGCGCGGAACAGACTGCGTTCTGGCACCACAAGATGCAGAGCCAACCTTCAGAAATGGGGCCACAAAGTGGAATCCACGACATGCGAGGGTGGAGAAGAGCAAACCACTGACCACCTGCTGCAATGCAACCTGAGCCCTGCCACATGCACAAGGGAGGACCTTCTTGCGGCAACACCAGAGGCACTCCAAGTGGCTAGATACTGGTCAAAGGACATTTAATCAGCTACCAAGTTTGCAAAATTTGTGTTTGTTTTTTTAAATCTGTTTGTTTGTTTTGTTCTGTTAGAAATGTAATACAATGTTCTGGTTGCGGATGACACGATAAAAAAAAAATCCAAGCTCTGAGGATGCCTGCCATAGATGTGGCCGAAATGTCAGGAGAGAATGCTTCTGGTACATTGCCATACAGCAAGGAAAACTCACAGCAAGCCACTGATTCCAGCCTTGAGAGCCTTTGACAACACAAAGTATTTATTGCTAGAGGTCTGTGTGCATCAAACATCAAGAGAGCATATGTTGTCCCCGTGCTGTGTTGGGGCAACAGAAGAGATCTGGCAGAATCAACTTCATTTTGAGTCACTGTGGTTTGCATGTGTGTGCCTTCTCCGGGCACGTTTTATTTGGAAGCCAAACCCAGGTCCATCTCCCTCAGCACCCAGCAAGGAGAGGCCTGAAATGAGGAAACTCCAAAGTCCTGGTAGAGGAAATAAATGCCGGGGGCGGCCCTTGGGGGTTGTGGAGGAAGAGAGAAGAGCAGAGAAGGAGGAGAGCCAGCTCCACCCTGCTGCTGTTTTCCTACCGCTTGCCTCAGGGAGCTCCCTGATGGCTTTATAATCAGATTTGTTCAGATGAGGCAAAAAAGCACTCTCGACAGGCAGGCAGGCAGGCCGAGGATGCGCCCTTGCAAATGCTCCGTCTTGTTTACAAGGCAAAAGGAAAGGGAATTAAAGGGCTTGGGCAGGGTGGGGGGATCTCAGGCTGCATTCACAAAAAGCAGGAGAGAAAACCACTCCTGAGGGTTAGGGTCCTCCATTGGTATCCATATATGGTATCCGTAGGGAGACCAAGGTGCTTGTCTATAAAGCTATTCCCCTCTCAACCCTGCTATACGCCTGTGAAACGTGGACTGTCTACAGATGTCAACACTTTCACTGAAATACAACAACACCTGAGCTCTGTGAGTGCAGCATTTTTCCAAATGAAGCAGAGAGAGTTTGAGGACCGGGACATCCGTAGGGAGACCAAGGTGCTTGTCTATAAAGCTATTGTCCTCCCAACCCTGCTATACGCCTGTGAAACGTGGACTGTCTACAGATGTCAACACTGACACTGAAATACAACAACACCTGAGCTCTGCGAGTGCAGCATTTTTCCGAATGAAGCAGAGAGTGTTTGAGGGCCCAGACATCCGTAGGAATACCAAGGTGCTTGTTTACAAAGCTATTGTCCTCCCAACACTGCTATATGTCTGCGAAACGTGGACTGTCTACAGACATCACATGCCACTCCTAGAACGATTCCATCAGAATTCAGAAGAAGACCTACAAGCCACTCTAAACACCTTTGCAGAAGCATACAAGAAGCTTAGTCTCTCATTGAACATCGAGAAAACCAAAGTGCTCTTCCAGCAGTCACCGGCCAATCCCTCTCCAATGCCAGAAATACAGCTTAAGGGTGAAACATTAGAAAATGTTGACCATTTCCGCTCCCTTGGAAGCCACCTCTCCACCAAAGTCAACATCGACACCGAAATACAACCCCGCCTGAGCTCTGCGAGTACAGCATTTTCCCGAATGAAGCAGAGAGTGTTTGAGGACTGACCGGGACATCCGTAGGGAGACCAAGGTGCTTGTTTACAAAGCTATTGGCCTCCCAACCTTGCTTTACACCTGCGAAACGTGGACTGTCTACAGACGTCACATGCAACTCCTGGAACGATTTCTCCAGAAAATCCTGCAAATCTCTTGGCAAGACAAGCAGATAAAGATCAGCGTCCTGGAAGAAGCAAAGACCACCAGCACTGAAGCGATGGTCCTCTGCCATCAACTTTGCTGGACCAGCCACGTTGTCCGGATGCCCGACCACTGTCTCCCAAAGCAGTTGCTCTACTCCGAACTCTAGAAGGGAAAATGGAATGTTGGAGGACAGGAAAAGAGATTGAAAGATGGGCTCAAAGCCAACCTTAAAAACTGTGGCTGGGAAACCCTGGCCCTTGAGCGCTCCAGCTGGAGGTCAGCTGTGACCAGCAGTGCTGCAGAATTTGAAGAGCACGAATTAGGTTTCTGTAAGCAAGGCATTAAAATTTGCCACAATGATGTTGGAAACCGCTTTGAGTCTCCCACTGTGGGGAGAAAACTGGTATACAAGTGAAGTAAATAAGTAAATAAAGCCATCCCAACAGATGGCCATCTAGCCTCATCAATATTAGCAGGTTCATGGAGAAGTAAGGCTATAGAGAAGGCTATACGGCAAACCCAGGCCTGGGGCCCAAATGTGGCCCCTTGGACTTTTTTCTCAGGCCCTTCTCTCTTTCACCATCCCTTCCTTCCGTCCTTCCTCTCTCTCTTTCCTTCTTCCCTCCCTTCTTTGCACCTCCCCCCCCCCTTTGACCTTCCTTTCTTCCCTTTCCCTCTTTCTTCCATCCTTCTTTCCTTTCTTCCTTCCTTCCTTCCTTCCTTCCTTCCTCCCTCCCCTTTTATCTTTCCTCCTTCTTTCTTCTCTCCCTTCTCCCTCCTTCCCTCCTCCTACCCTCTCTTCCCTCCATCCTTCCACACTTCTATCCTCCCTTCCTTCCCTTCCACCCTTTTGCCCTTCCTCCATGCCTGTACTCTTTACCTC